ACGGGCAGATCTGCCCTAGCAGAGGAGGGAGAGCTTGTACCTGAATAAAACTTGGTCTTAAAGGTGCCACTGGACTGTTTTGGACCGGGGGGGCAGGGGGAGCTCTGCAACTTACCTGGCTGCTTCTTGCTCTGACTGAGGGCTGCTGGGAGCAGGGGGTGGGGCTTGTTGCATGTGCCCGCCCCCTGGGCTCTTTACTGCCGGAGCCCCGCTCCTGTGCGCTCCCACAGGGAATGACCCCTGGTTCTGTCAGAGCTGTTCTCTCAAGAGCAGTTTTGGAAAGGGCGCTCTCAGCCGCACCCGAAATCCAGTCCCAGCACCTCAGGCTGTTGACGTCTCCCCCTTCCTTGAATCTCGCCAGGAGAGACGAGAGGCCTGGTTGGAAAAGCTGAGGCATCTGCACCCTTTGTCCCACAGGCACAACGACAACAAGACCTTCTTGGTCTGGGTCAACGAGGAGGATCACCTCCGTGTCATCTCCATGCAGAAGGGCGGCAACATGAAGGAGGTCTTCCGGCGCTTCTGCGTCGGGCTGCAGAAGGTGAGGGGTGAGGCCGGCTGCTGATACGAGGGGGCAGGCCGGGACCCTCAGTGGGCGGGTGGGCGACCAGGGACCAGACAAAGAAGCTGGTGGCCTCCCATTGGCGATGTAACTGACTGGTGGCAGCAGATTGGGAAGCTTTGGCCGGAGCGGGCCGTTGCCCCCCTCAGCCCCCCCGCAGCTGCTGCCAGTTCTGGCCGGGATGGGCTGCCATTCCCTCTTCCGACTGGGGCCCCAGAGAGCCAGCCAGGGCCCGAGCCGTGTCCTGCAACACCTGACACAGGGGGGGGGGTGCGCTCAAGAGACCCGCAGGATGCTCACACGGGCGGATCAGGAGAATGGGACACGGCAGGGGATCCCAGCATCTTCTTGGGCCCCTGAGCCCGGCCACCCTGCCACGGAGCGGACGCCGTCAAGGGGCCAGCCGGGGCTGAACGCTTCTCTCTCCCCGGGGGGGCCAGATTGAGGAGATCTTCAAGAAAGCCGGCCACCCCTTCAGCTGGAACGAGCACTTGGGCTACGTCCTCACTTGCCCCTCCAACCTGGGCACCGGCCTGCGTGGCGGCGTCCACGTGAAACTGCCCCACCTCAGCAAGCACGCCAAGTTCGAGGAGATCCTCACCCGCCTCCGTCTGCAGAAACGTGGCACAGGTGAGGGGGGGGAAGGGGTGTTTGCCACGGCCGCAGGACGGGACCGGAGGACGTCCCTGGCTCCCACCCTCCCGGGGGCCCGTCTGTCCCCCGTAGCTCAAACCCGCACAGCCCGCCCACGCAGTTAATTGGGAACGTGGCATTTAGTTGAACGGAACGTTTTGAGTCCTCGTAGCCGTCGCCACCAAATCTGGGCCCCTGAACGCAGCAAACGGGTATAGATCAGAATTTGCTTAAATCGCCTCCCTACGGAAGGAGAAATCCCAGGCCAAGATAGAAATGTCACACTTGATGGACAGGTGTGTTTTGTACTTGAGAACCCACCCCAGCCTACCAGGAGAGAAAAGCAAATTGTCCTTTTCAGTGCAAGGATCCTGTGCTCTGTTTCCTGCTCCCAAGGGGTAGTTCTGATAGGGTTGTAATCTAAGAGGGTCAGGCTAACAAATACATTGTTATGAAAATACAAATATTTACTATGGTGTACGCATATATAAACATACATAAGGTTAAAAGAAATATTCCAAAAATAACAGGAAAATTTTATATACATTTTATGTATATTATGTATATTTAGTATATACATTTGATATATAATAATCTGGCCTTTTCCTCTTCTTTTCGACCATTTCAGAAAGCAACACCTGGTTCTATAGAAAAATTCTTTATCTATTCATTTCTGGATGTGTGTTAGTGTACTATAGGAATATCTGGACTATTTCTTTTAGTCCTTATGTAGGTTTTATTTATCTGTACACCATAATAAATATTTGTATTTTCATAACAATGTATTTGTTAGCTTGACCCTCTTAGATCACAGCTACATTTTGGGTTGAGTTTCCTTCCCCGCCCCCCCTTATTCTCTCGGTTGTAGTCAGGGGTCATTTCGTAGAAAGTGCAGGAGCTCATTAGCATGCCTTATTAGCATAACTTATTTGCATATGCCACACCCCCTGACATCACCGGAAGTGTGTCAGAAGGCAACACACACCGCTCAGGCTCCACTGGACTGTTTTGGATTGCTAGCTATGGGGGGGGGGGGCCACCCAGATCTGCCCTCACAGAGGAGGGGGAGCTTGTACCTGAAGGTGGTGGTGGGGCTCTGCAACTTATCTGGCTGCTTCTTGCTCATCGTGACTGAGGGCTGCTGGGAGCAGGGGGCGGGGCTTGTTGCATGTGCCCGCCCCCTGGGCTCCTTACTGCCAGAGCTCTGCTCCTGTGCGCTCCCGCAGGAAATGACCCTTAGTTGTAGTTCTGATAGGGAACGCATTGCCCGTCCAGGTAAAACTCCCTGGGAAGCAGGCAGCCCAAATCCGGTCAGAGGGCGGTGACCGACCACCGGCTACTTCTTCTCTCCCCAGGTGGCGTGGACACCGAGGCCGTGGGCGCCGTGTTCGACATCTCCAACGCCGACCGCCTGGGCTCCTCCGAGGTGGACCAAGTCCAGCTGGTGGTTGACGGCGTGAAGCTCATGGTGGAGATGGAGAAGAAGCTGGAAAAGGGCCAGGCCATCGACGACATGGTCCCTGCGCAGAAGTGAGAGCGCCATCTCTTGGCCCCGACGGCCCCGCGCGGACTCCGGGTGGTGACCCCAACCCTGCCACTCCCGGCAGCCGCTCCCCTGCGCCCTCCTCTCTCCTGCCCAGGGGAGGCGAGGGCCGAGCGGGTGGCTGCCCTCTGCCAGCTGGGAAGCTCACGTCACCCGAGCCTTAGTGGAAGGAGTTAATAAAGCTAGCGATGGCCTCAGAGCCTTGCCTCCCCCCTAGAGGGCCTCCTCGTCCGACTCTTCTTTTCTGCTTGCGGGGTCCTTCCGGGGGGGAGGGTCCAACAGGCGAGGGCGGGAGAGCCGCTCCGCACCGCCCACCTGTGACCTGTTGTGCAACCGTTTGTTTGTGGGACGGGTGGTTTTCGGTCCAGTTCAATGCTCCCTCTGAGCTGTGGAGTCTTGTGAGCAAAAATTCTACTTTGTGAGGTACTGACATTAAAGTTGTGAGCGAGGGATTTGGCTGCTGCATAAATTAGTTTGCTCTGGAGCCCTCCTTCCTGAGCTAAGACAGAAATGTGTGAGCCGGAGGCTAAAAAACTGTGAGCTGGCTCGCACGAACTCAGCTTAGAGGGAACACTGGTCCAGTCTACAGGCTGGAGTTTTATTGGAACTGGGAGGTCCACACACACACACACAGTTGCAAAACGGGCCAGGAATGGCAATTTTGTTGCTGGCAAGAAACCTCCAGCGTACTTGAGCCCTAACACTCGGGGGGGGGCAGTGCCCCCTCACTGCCCCCGTGCCTCAACTAAGTCTTCCTGGTGATGGCGAAAAGTGCCGTCAAGTTGCAGCTGACCTACGGTGGCCCAGGAGGTTTTTCAAGGCAGGAGATCAACAGAGGCGGTTTGCCATTGCCTGCCTCTGCGTAGCAACCCTGGACTTCCTTGGCGGTCTCCCATCCAAATACTAACCGGGGCCGACCCTGCTTAGCTTCTGAGATCTGATGAGATCAGGCTAGCCTGAGCCATCCGGGGAGGGCAGTCTTTCTAGGACCCTACCTTCAATATATGTCAACTCTCAGCTTCCTTAACTCCAGCACGGCCAGTGTCTCAGGGTACAGGAAGCGAGGGAAGGCGGGTGAGAGAATAGAAGAGGAGATTGGATTCATAACCCGCCCTTGACTACCCAAAGGTGTCTGAGCGGCTGACAAACTCCTTCCCCTTCCCCTCCCCACAACAGACACCCCGTGAGGTAGGTGGGGCTGAGAGAGCTCTTGACAGAAACGGCTCTTTTTCAAGGACAGCTCTGACAGAACTAGGGCTTGCCCAAGGTCATCCAGCAGTTGCAAGTGGAGGAGGAGTGGGGAATCGAACCCGGTTCTCCCACATTAGAGTCCACGCACTTAACCACGACACCAAACTGGCTGCCGAACAATCATTTGGACTTAGGGCGTTGTCCGACCCAGCTGTCTGTTTTCCAATCCCCAAAGCCACGGCCACCTCTGAGCATAAGCAGAGTGCCCACAACCCCCCCCAACCCCGTAAAGCTCTGAAGCGGCTTCGGCTCCCCCCACCCCACCCCACCCCCCACCCATGCCCCCAAAGGCAAGGATCCAGCCAGGCACACAAGGAGGCTTTCTATGTTTATTAGGGGTTTGGTACAGACCGTCGCGCTGGGGCTCGAATAACTTATCAACCGTCCCAAGGCAAGGGCTGGATCGCGAATATCTCTACCCAATAATACAGGGACTAACTGGACTGATATTTACAGGGGAGTCTGTACAGAGGGGAGGGGGGCAAACAGGCAGGTTTTTTTGGGGGGGGCAGGGAGGGCGCAGCTCACAGCAGGGGGAGCGAGTGCACGAGCCCCCACCCCAACCCCTGCCCCACCCCAGACTAGAACGGGAACGTCCCCGTCCACCCCCCACTTCCCACTCACTCAGCCGCCCTCCCACCTCCCGAGACCAGACCCCCTGTCCCGAGGGCCCGGGTGGTCAAGATGGGACAGGCACAGCTGTGGGGGCTCCAGAACGGCACCCGACGTCCATCTGCCACACGAGGGGCCGCAGGAGGGTCCGGCGTGCGCTTCCTCTCCTCCTCCCCCCCATTTCTGAGCGGAGTCGCCGCCAACGTGTTCCAGCGGGGTGTCCGACTTGTGAGATGTTGATGGGCTGAAGCCCTTGAACAGAGCCCCCCCCCTGGAGGTCCAGCCTCCTTTGGCGTGTGGTCTCAGCACCGGGGCTTTGGAGTCCAGCAAAGGGGGTACACGATGGAGGGTGTGTGTTGGGGAGGGGGGTGCCGCCTGCCACCTGAGAGGCCTGCAAGGATTATGGGGATGCTAAACCGGAGAGGCTGAAAGGCCCAGGTGGAAACGTTCCTTCGGGAACAGAGGTGGGAGCACTTTCGCCCCACTGGAGACGTCCGATCGCCCTCAGGAGAGGAACTCCCACCGCCCCCCGAGGTGGTTCGCAGGAGCCGAGCGCCACCAGAGCCCCCAACCCGGAGGTCAGCTGTCCCACAGGTGCAGAACAGGTGACCCCGGTGGTCCCCTGATGAAGTGCAGCCTGCCGTTTCTCCCTTACCCCAGAATTCACCCTCCCTTGCGCCGTTCCCTGCTCCTCCTCGCTCCCCCCAAACCACAACTAGAAACCAAGACTGGCGAGGAGGTCTCGGCCGCTCAGAGAAGAGTCCCCGGCACAGATGCTGGAGAATTCCGAGGGCAGGTGGGGGGCACGGGGGACTCTTTTTGTGTCAAACCAGCATGGGGGGGGCGGGATTACCCTCTTGGCCCGCCAAAACCTGAATACCAGAAAAGGCTGGAACAAAAAACGGCTCCGGTTTGGAACGGAACCAGTTTGACTGTTTCGACTTAAACCAGACGGACGAAGCGGGGGGCATCGTTATTTCCTCCCTCCGCGAGTGAGGGGGGGGGACCCAAAACGAAAACCCAGGACCCTCGGGTTGGGGGCTTCCCCTGGTGGGGGCAGGATGAAGAAGCCAGGAGGGGGGGGAAGCAGGGTCAGAAATGCCTCTCTGTGTCACAAATCCCCCCCCTGCCACCAAAAGCTCCGGGCAACACCAACACCCCTCCGTGTGAAGCTCAGGAAACGGGTTGCGAGACCTGGGCCCCTCCCTGCTGCGGCCTGAAGAGGGTCAGTCACGTGTGGGGAAAGCAAGGGAGGAAAAGGACCTCCACAGCCAACCGCCCCCTCCCCTCCCTTCTCTCCCCCCCCCGTCCTTCACCCAGCTGGGCGGCGGGGTTGGCACAGCCCCCTCTGTCCCAAGCAGCTCCTCTTTCCGTCGGGCGACAGAGTCAGGCTCCCGGGAGTCCTGGCCCCGCGAGGACAGGGGTGGGCAGTCGCGGGTCACCCCCCTCGGCACTGTCCCCCGGCCTGTGGGTGGTCGAGCGCTGTGGCGGCGCCCCTCCGAGGCGCTAGAGTTGTAGCTGGTCGGTGATCTTGGCCACCAAGCCCCGGAAGGCCAGGGAGGTGCCCGCCTGGCGCCGGAAAAGCACCCCGTGGAGGCCCCCCAGCCGCTGCAGCCGGCAGACCTCCGCCTCGAAGGAGCAGTACTGCTCGCTGGGGCTCTTCTCGTGCGTACAGGAGAGGACGAAGGGCTCCGTCTGGAGGCAGCAGCAGCCTGCAGCGTCCGTGGCCTGGCGGAGGGCGGCGAGGATGGCCTCGGCGGGGCGGGTGCTGGTGAGCTTTACATTCCAGGTAAATCGGAGCAGCCGGGGTTCTGTTTCCTTTTGATGCCAAGGTAAATTGCAACTGCGGGCGGAGAAGAGCGACAGGCAAGGCTTATTGGCATCGTGGTCGGCAGGGCGTCAGTCACAGACCTCCTGGGCTCATGAACTGAGGGCTGAAATGCGCTCTCTGCGCACCGTTCGCGAGCCCGCCCTTAGAAACGGAACCTCCACATTCAGAGGCAGTCAACCTCTGGATAACCAGTGCCAGCAGGGAAGATCAGGGGAAGGCCTCGGCCTCTCTGCCCTGTTGTTGGCCCTCCAGAGGAACTGGCTGGCCACTGTATGAGACGGGAGGCTGGACTAGAGGGACCCTCCCTGGTCTGACCCAGCAGGGCTCTTCTGATGTTTTTATGAAGGCCTCGGCCTCTCAGCCCTGTTGTTGGCCCTCCAGAGGAACTGGCTGGCCACTGTATGAGACGGGAGGCTGGACTAGAGGGACCCTCCCTGGTCTGACCCAGCAGGGCTCTTCTGATGTTTTTATGAAGGCCTCGGCCTCTCAGCCCTGTTGTTGGCCCTCCAGAGGAACTGGCTGGCCACTGTATGAGACGGGAGGCTGGACTAGAGGGACCCTCCCTGGTCTGACCCAGCAGGGCTCTTCTGATGTTTTTATGAAGGCCTCGGCCTCTCAGCCCTGTTGTTGGCCCTCCAGAGGAACTGGCTGGCCACTGTATGAGACGGGAGGCTGGACTAGAGGGACCCTCCCTGGTCTGACCCAGCAGGGCTCTTCTGATGTTTTTATGAAGGCCTCGGCCTCTCAGCCCTGTTGTTGGCCCTCCAGAGGAACTGGCTGGCCACTGTATGAGACGGGAGGCTGGACTAGAGGGACCCTCCCTGGTCTGACCCAGCAGGGCTCTTCTGATGTTTTTATGAAGGCCTCGGCCTCTCAGCCCTGTTGTTGGCCCTCCAGAGGAACTGGCTGGCCCCTGTATGAAGCAGGATGCTGGACTGGATGGACCCTCACTGGTCTGATCCAGCAGGGCTCCTCTGAGGTTCTTATCAGGGGAAGGCCTTGGCCTCTCTGCCCTGTTGTTGGCCCTCCAGGGGAACAGGTTGGCCACCGTGTGAGACAGGATGCTGGACTAGATGGACCCTTCCTGGTGTGATCTAGTAGGCTTATGTGCTTATCAGAGGAAGGCCTCAGCCTCTCTGCTCTGTTGTTGGCTGTCCAGAGAAATTGGTTGGCCACTGTGTGAGATGGGATGCTGGACTGAATGGACCACTGGCCTGAACCAGCAGGACTTTCCTGATGTTCTTGTCAGGGAAAAGCCTCGGCCTCTCTGCCCTGTTGACAGCCCTCCAGAGGAACTGGTTGGCCCCTGTGTGAGACGGGATGCTTGACTGGATGGACCCTCACTGGTGTGATCCAGCAGGGCTCTTTTGAGGTTCTTATCAGGGGAAGGCCTCGGCCTCTCTGCCCTGTTGTAGGCCCTCCAGAGGAACTGGTTGGCCCCTGTGTGAGACGGGATGCTGGACTAGAGGGACCCTCTCTGGTGTGATCCAGCAGGACTCTTCTGATGTTCTTCTCAGGGGGAGGCCTCGGCCTTTCTGCCCTGTTGTAGGCCCTCCAGAGGAACTGGTTGGCCCCTGTGTGAGACGGGATGCTGGACTAGATGGACCCTCACTGGTCTGAACCAGCAGGGCTCTTCTGACGTACTCATCAGCCTCTATGCCCCATTGTTGGCCCTCCAGAGGAACTGGTTGGCTGCTGTGAGACACAAAATGTTGGACTAGTAGGTTTATGTGCTTATCAGAGGAAGGCCTTGGCCTCTCTGCTCTGTTCTTGGCTGTCCAGAGAAACTGGTTGGCCACTGTGTGAGACAGGAAGCTGGACTGAATGGACCAGTGGCCTGAACCAGCAGGGCTTTTCTGATGTTCTTGTCAGGGGAAGGTCTCGGCCTCTCTGCCCTGTTGTAGGCCCTGCAGAGGAACTGGTTGGCCACTGTGTGAGGCGGGATGCTGGACTAGATGGACCCTCACTGGTCTGATCCAGCAGGGCTCTTCTGATGTTCTTCAGGGGCAAGGCCTTGGCCTCTATGCCCCATTGTTGGCCCTCCAGAGGAACTGGTTGGCCACTGTGAGATACAAAATGTTGGACTAGATGGACCCTCACTGGTGTGATCTAGTAGGCCTATGTGCTTATCAGAGGAAGGTCTCGGCCTCTCTGCCCTGTTGTTGGCTGTCCAGAGGAACTGGTTGGCCCCTGTGTGAGACAGGATGCTGGACTTAATGGACCACTGGCCTGAACCAGCAGGACTCTCCTGATGTTCTTATCAGGGGAAGGCCTCGGCCTCTCTGCCCTGTTGTTGGCTCTCCAGAGGGACTGGTTGGCCCCTGTGTGAGACGGGATGCTGGACTGGATGGACCACTGGTCTGACCCAGCAGGGCTCTTCTGACGTTGTCATCAGGGGAAAGCCTCGGCCTCCCTGCCCTGTTGTTGGACCTCCAGAGGAACTGGTTGTCCCCTGTGTGAGACAGGATGCTGGACTAGATGGACCCTCACTGGTCTGATCCAGCAGGGCTCTCCTTATGTTCTAGTGACCACTGGTCTGAACCAGCAGGGCTCTTCTGACATTCTTATCAGGGGAAGGCCTCGGCCTCTCTGCTCTGTTGTTGGACCTCCAGAGGAACTGGTTGGCCCCTGTGTGAGACATGATGCTGGACTAGAAGGGCTCAACCAACCCACCCTAAACACACGTCCAGGAAGCCGTCCGGCATCCCCCATGAAAGTGGAGCTAGCGCCGAGGAAGGGCGGGCGCTGCAGGAGGTGTGGTCCAGCCCAGCCTCCCGCGTCCTGTCCTGGTTGCTACACGACACGCTCAGTCCTCCTTCTGCTCACCATGAGGAGGGGCCAGGGGCGAGAGAGGGCAACCGAGGCCCGCCCCAAACTGCTGGTCAGCTCCCAAGGGTGCCCCACACATCGCTCGCATGCTCTGAAGCGCAGCTTTGCACTACTGAAAAGGCACGATTCTCAGGAAGCCAACATTCCCCTGCGGCTTCTCTGCAGTTCTGTGGACTCCCACATACCGTTTGGGCTACAAGCTACCCAAAGAGAGTGGGCACGCTTTTAAGGGGCGGGCAGCCCAGAGGAGACCGGAGCGGGACTAAAGGCTGCGAGGAGCAAAACAGAGACTTACCTTGTGAGCGCAGGTCCCCTGATTCTCTCAGGTTCGTCTGCGACCCTGGAAAGAGAAGGGAAGGGGGAGGTGAAGGCGGGAGCCGGATGCAGCAGAGGCGCCCAGAGGGTGGGGTCTCTTGGCTGCTCCCCCCTCCAGCCCCCTGCTCCTGGCCACCTCGGCTGCTTGGCCTTGACCGGAAGAGGGACGGACCCTCTCGCCTAAGGCCCAGCCTTCTGGTCTCGCTGTCCTGGGATCCCAAAGCTTCCCCGTGAGCTTGCAAGAGCCTTTGGCCGCAGGAAGACACAGCGGCTACAAGCACAGACGGCATCGGGGGGGGGGGCCGGTCCATCGGGAGGTCCATCAGTGGCTATGAGCCGCAAGGTATAGATGGAACACTGTCGGGGGGGGGGGGGGGGGGGTCGGTCCATCGGGAGGTCCATCAGTGGCTATGAGCCGCAAGGTGTAGAGGGATGCTCAGTATTCTCAGTGCTTGGGGGGCAACAGGGGGAGGGCTTCCAGAGGTCTGGCCTTGCTGGTGGACCTCCTGACGGCCCCTGGGTTTTGGCCACTGTGTGTCACAGAGTATTGGACAGGATGAGCCATTGGACTGATCCAACATGGCTTCTCTTATGTTCTTATGCCCGGGGCAGTGATGCTCCATATCCTTGGTGCTTTGGGGGGGGGGCAACATTGGGAGGGCTTCTGAAGTTTTGGCCTCGCATCTGGACCTCCTGATGGCCCCTGGTATTTTTGGCCACTGTGTGACACAGAGTGTTGGACAGGATGGGCCATTGGCCTGATCCAACATGGCTTCTCTTAGGTTCTTATGTCTGGGGCAAGGGATGCTCTGTATCCTTGGTGCTGGGGGGGGGGCAAGAGGGGGAAGAATTCTGGAGTTCTGGCTCCACTGGTGGACCTCCTGATGGCACCTGGGTTTTGGCCACTGTGTGACACAGAGTGTTGGACTGGATGGGCCACTGGCCTGATCCAACATGGCTTCTCTTAGGTTCTTATGTCTGGGGCAAGGGATGCACTATATCCTTGGTGCTTAGGGGGCAAGAGTGGGAGGGGCTTCTAGTGTCCTGGCCCCACTGGTGGACCTCCTGATGGCCCCCGTGTGACACAGAGTGTTGGACTGGATGGGCCGCTGGCCTGATCCGACACGGCTTCCCTTAGGTTCTTATGCCACCCAAGACTTGCACGCTCCTCCATACTTAAAAACAACCACCACCCTCGGATATAAAAAGCAGGGCTCCGGACTGGGAACTTGCCTAGGGAGGTTGCGGAACGACAAGTCTGAGGACAGCTGGAGACCCTGATCAGAACAGGGACCCGGGCCAGAAGGAAGAGTCGAGCAGGGCCTGGCAACACCATCTCCCCAGCTGGCCTGGAGGACCTGGGAGCCAGATGTCCCTGCTCGGTTTTCCCGAATCTACCCCCGGCAGACCGACGTATGGGGTCCCACGCTCTCTAGGCTCTGCCAGAGGTTTCGGTTTAGTGCACAGACGTGCCCCCGCCGTTCTCCCCTCGAGGAACTGGAGTCACCCAGGGAAGAGGAGCCGCTCTCCCTCCCTGCCGCAAACTAGCTTTGCAAGGGGGCGGGGAGCAGCACGGGCCCCCTTCTTCTTTGCTACTGGGCGACACCGAGGCTCTCTTCTGTGGCACTGTGCCACCCCGTGGTCAGAGTTCCAGTCCACCCAAGGGCCCGGAAAACCCAGTCTCTAGCCTCGCACACCCCCCCCCCAACACACATTCCAGCATAGCCAGGCGCTTTTCAAGCTCCAAAGTTCTGCAGGGCTTAATTTCGACCAGAGAGGTTCTATCAGTGCTGGGCCTCAGACTTGGGGATTCAAGGTGAGTGCCTCTGAGCCTACGCAGAGTGCCTTTCCTCCCTTACACGTCTGAGAGATCAGGGGAAAGGGTTTCCCTGAACTAGAGGCATGATCCCACGCCAGGACTTCCTACAACTTCCCAGAAGTTCAGCGTTGTCCAAAGCCACCGGAAACTGGGGATCCCCGACTTTCTCACTACGAGAAACACCAAAGAAAAGGAGGAAGCAAGCGTTTCTGTACAGGCACGGGGAGGGGAGGGGAGGCGAAAGAGGGTGGGCAGCCAAAGACAGCGGAAGACAGGAGGGCAGCCCCCTCGGCGAAAAGAAAAGCAGCCAGACTTACTGATTTTAGATCCTTGAGGCATTGACGCGCCCGAGACGCACCTGTTAGAATTCTGCCGCTTAGAGGGGTCAAGAGTGACCCTGAAAACAGAGAAAAGCCAGAGTGAAAAGAGGCGCGGAGGAGCAGAGGGGAAGGAAGCAAGAGAGGTTAGTCTGGAGAGCGATCCCTTCCCCGCCGCAGAGAAAGTGGGGCCTTCGGCCTCGGGCGGCTTTTGGCTCCCAACTACGGTGGGGTGTGGCTGGTTCTCTCGTGGCACGTCGGCTCCCGGGCACCTCTCCTCCCGGCCTCTCAGGCAGCTTCTAGATCAGGGATCCCCAGCATGGCATCCGCCAACAATTTTTCCCGTGCCCCTCGTGTGTTTTTAGAAAGGGCCAGGTGGGTCGTCTGCCCTGCAAGGCTTCTGATTGGCCAATGAAGATTTGTTAGCTGTCGTAGATTTTCCGGGCTGCGCGGCTGTGGTCTTGGCATTGTAGGACCTGACGTCTCGCCAGCAGCTGTGCCGTGACTGGCATCCTCAGAGGTATAACACAGAAAGGTGGAGGACTCTCTGTGTCAAGGCGAGGAGAAAAATGGCAGGCAGGTGATTTATCTCTACTCAGGAAGGTGGGGGCAGGGCTGAGTCATTATCTTGTCGGAGTTCCCCAGGCTGAGACATGCTAATGGAGGAGCTTTCCTGAGGAGGTTCTTTTGCAGATGGGTTGGCTGCTGAAATTCCAATCTTATCTGTAGTGCTGTTGTGATGCTGTTGTGAGATGAGATTGTGTTTCATGTTTATGAATTTCAATGGCTTCCCTGTGTAATTTCGACGGGACAGAAGAGAATTTAAAAATAAACAGGGCATGGTGACCAGTCCTGAAAAACACAAGATGCTCCACATCTGACAACAGCACTACAGATAAGATTGGGATTTCAACAGCCAATCCAGATGCAAAAGAACTTCCTCAGGAAAGCTCCTCCATTAGCATGTCGCGCTCCTACAAGATAACGACTCAGCCCTGTCCCACCTCCCTGAGTAGATATAAATCACCTCCCTACCATTTTCCTTCTCACCTTGACACAGAGAGTACTCCCTCTTTCTGTGTCATACCTCTGAGGATGCCAGTCACGGCACAGCTGCTGGCGAAATGTCAGGTCCTACAATGCCAAGACCACGGCCGTACGGCCCGGAAAATCGACAACAACTAATGAACTCCGTTCTGTGGCTGGCCCCGCCATCTTCACCAGCCATTTTGCGGCTGCACCCAGCGTGCTATGTCACAAATCCAAAGGTGCCCATGCGCTCGAAAATGCTGGGGAATCCCTGTTCTAGATGCTTGCATGCACGTGTGCGCAAGGGGAATGATATGGGCGAAGCAAGCAGCAAGCTTCCTTGCTAAGCACCTCTATACAACATCTGTATGGTTCAGAGCAGCTCACAGACCACGGGGAAGCCGGCTCAGTTAACTGACCACAGAACGGGCTACGAAGAAGCCAAGATCTCCACTGAAGAGAGGTGCCTTCCTGGGCGTCTTTTCAAACCACCACCACCAGTGGTGGTGGCGGGTGGTGTTGCTGAAGGTGCCGACTAGCTGCACACCGCATGTATCAGCAGCATCGATAAAACACCAAAGTCGCTTTCGGGCCCAAGCCACCGATCGTGTTGGACAAGCTGCTCGGCACTTGGGGGGGGGGGATATTTTAAAATCAATACAATGGATGGCCCCAGGCTAGCCAGATCTCGGCAGCTCTCGGAAGCTAAGGAGGGTCGGCCCCAATGTTCCCTCTAAGCCGTGGAGTCTTGTGAGCAAAAATTCTACTTTGTGAGCTAATGGCATTAAAGTTGCGAGCGAGCGATTTGGCTACTACATAAATTAGTTTCCTCTAGAGCCATCCTTCCTGAGCTGAGACAAAAACGTGTGAGCTGGAGGCTAAAAAATGGTGAGCTAGCTCACACTAACTCAGCTTAGAGGGAACACTGGTCGGCCCCGGTTAGTACTTGGATAGGAGACCAACCAGAAAGTCCAGGGTTGCTACACAGAGGCAGGCAATGACAGAACACCCCTGAACGTCTCTTAACTCAGAAATCCTACTGGGCCGCCAGAAGTCCACTGTGAATAGACAGCCCTCTCCACCACCAACAGTCAGTGAGAATTTCAGAACAAAGACACCCTCACACAGCTCTCCCAGGAAGAAGAGGAGGAGGAGGAGATTGGATTTATACCCTTCGCTACCCAAAGGAGTCTCAGAGTGGCTTTACAATCTCCTTTCCCTCCCCCTCCCCGCAACAGACACCCCTGTGAGGTAGGTGGGGCTGAGAGAGCTCTGAGAAGAAGAAGAGAACGGATTTGTACCCCGCCCTTCGCTACCCAAAGGAGTCTCAGAGCGGCTTTACAATCTCCTCCCCCTCCCCACAACAGGCACCCGGTGAGCAATGCTCCCTTCTAAGCTGTGGAGTCTTGTGAGCAAAAATTCAACTTTGTGAGCTGCCGGCATGGAAGCTGTGAGCGGGCGGTTTGGCTGCCACACAAATCAGTTGGCTCCGGAGCCCTCCCTTCCTGAGCTGGGACAAAAAAATGTGCGAGCCGGAGGCTAAAAAAACCTGTGAGCCGGCTCACACTAACTCAGAGGGAACATTGCGAGGGAGGTGGGGCCGAGGGAACTCTCCAGAGAACTGCCCTCGAGAGAACAGCTCAGAGATAACTTGTGAACGACCCAAGGTCACACCGGCCGCTGCATGTGGAGGAGGAGTGGGGGAATCAAACCCGGTTCTCCCAGATTAGAGTCTGCGCTCCTCGCCGCTACACCAAACTGAAGGCGCAATTGGGCCCCAGTGTTTTCACCCAAGCTCCTCCTTCCCTTCGAGCAAAACCAGAGGTGCAAAGTTCCACAACGGGGGCATTCTGCGTTCTGAAGATGACCAGTGGCTCGGAGAAGGGTCAGAGTCAGCCCATTCTGGAGCAATCTCTCTCTCTCTCTCCTCTCTCTCTGAAGCTACCAAAGAGAGCCGGCACTTTCCCTTCCTGCAAGAATCGCCCCATTCCCTGACCCACAAGCGGGGGTTTCGTGAAGGCAGCCACTTCTGGGCAGGAACGTGCTAATGACGTGACCGCAGGCACGAAACGAATGGGGGGAAGAGAGAGAGCGGGGAGGGGGGGGAGGCGGGTGACCTGAGGGACGACAGAGAGCAGGTGGGCCAGCCGGCGTTTGTGACCCCGGGGCCGCCGGTGCCTCGCCGAGTCGCCACTCACCTCCGCGTGAGCTTCGAGGTGAGCTTGCTGAAGAGGTTGGAGGTGGCCCGGCTGCGGCTCTGCGGCAGAGGCGTGGCTTCGTGGGAGAGCGTCGGGGAGGTGGGGGGCCCGTTCTGCACCCCGGTCCCGCGCCGGTCCCGCACCTGGCCCCCGTGGAAGGTGCTGCGGATGTTGGTGCCGCGCGAAAGCCGGGTGCGGTCCGAAGAAGTGGACGAGGTGGCGATGCTGTGACTGGAGGGGGAGGCGGGGGGCACCCGGCTGGACACGGAGCTGTGTGTGGGGGGGGGAGGAGAGCGGCGACTGAGAACGGGGCCCGAGAACTGGAACTCGCCCCGGGCTCAGTCCGGGAACGGAAGCGTCTGAAGTGCTAATAAAAGATATAAGCTCTATATTTCAAAGGGTTAAGTCGGCTTAGGTGCATAAAAGAACGATTCTATCTATGTAAAGTTTAAGCAGGTATAATGGGTACAGGTTCCATCTTTGTTGTGTGCCAGTTTCTCTTTCTTTTTCTTACGTTGAAAACTAATAAAATCTTCTTTTATAAAAAAAAAATAATAGTCAAGGGTGCTCTGGGCCAATGCTCCCTCTAAGCTGTGGAGTCCTTTGAGCAAAAATTCTACTTTGTGAGCGACTGGCATGAATTACTTTGCATACTTTTGCATAATGGATAACTGGCATAAAGTTGCGAGCGGGCGATTTGGCTGCTGCATAAATCAGTTTGCTCCGGAGCCGTCCTTCTAGAGCTAAGACAAAAACGTGTGAGACGGAGGCTACAAAACTGTGAGCTAGCTCACACGAACTCAGCTTAGAGGGAACACGGCTCTGGGCACGTGCAGAGTGCCTTCATGCAGCTACTATTAGGCACTGGGATTAGGAATGAAAGTTCTGGACTACAGGAGATGGCTGGAATCCTGGAAACTCGAAACAGAAATAACACGCCAAATCCAGGGTTCCTCTGACCCAACACACATTCCTTCTGCCTTTCCGACTGCCCACGGCCCCTCGGGATCAGTCCCTTCTTGGGGGCCAAGGTCTTGCCCAAAGAGGGCTGTCCCTCCCCCACCCAGAACACTGTCCTGGATTCTCCCAGAACTTGGAGTCCCACGTGGGCCGCCCGGATCCCGGCCGTTCCCTGGGGCTCCAGCAGCGTCACGCTGCAGCAAGACCAGTGGAAACTGGGCAGGAGGCCAGCGGCGAGCCAAAGTCCGTGGGAAGGGACAGGACTGGGCGGCCGGTGCGGGCGGGGGTGTGTGTGTCAAGGCCAGCACGCACCTCCTGCCACCAGAGGGCACGGCAAAGGCGCACGAGGCCCCCGGCCTTCGGAAGAAGAGCCCGTTCTCCCCCCCACACCCTGGTGCCCACGCATTCCTCCCGAAAGTGTGCCAGAATTCCCCTGCAGGCTTGTCTAACTCAGCATTCTGTATGCCAGCAGTGGCCGACGTCTCCAGTGCCCTGCACGGAGGAGGGTTGTGCTGAGCAAGGGCACCCCTTCTGCAGCACAAAAGCCGGGGGGGGGAGGGGGCAGCCTGCAGCCGTGGTGGTGACAACCTAGGGGGAGCAAAACACCCCTGCGATGCACTGGAGAACTGCCCTCGGCACGGAGGTCCTGCATTCTTTTATGCTTGCCTGGGCACAAGGTCTAAGGGACCGCCTTTCCCCATATATCCCCCCCAGAGAGCACTGCGGTCGGGGCTGCAAAAATCCCCTGACTCTCCTGGGCCCTAAAGAAGCCAGGCTGGCTGCCACCAGGGCCAGGGCCTTCTCAGTGGCGGCTCCACAGTGGCGGGACGAGCTCCTGAAAGACATCAGGGCCCTGCGGGACCTTTTACAGTTCTGCGAGGCCTGCAAGACGGAGCTCTTCCACCAGCCCTTCGAGTAGGAGCCGCCACTGATGGATGAGCATCAAGAACAACTATGGATGCTGGCCTGGTTACACCAGATCACTGTATGGCAACGGCCAGGGGTCATTTCCTGCAGGAGCGCACAGGAGCGCAGCTCTGGCAGTAAAGAGCCCAGAGGGCGGGCACATGCAACAAGCCCCACCTTCTGCTCCCAGCAGCCCTCAGTCAGAGCAAGAAGCAGCCAGGTAAGCTGCAGAGCCCCCTCCCCGCCCCCCCGGTCCAAAACAGTCCAGTGGCACCTTCAAGTCTTATTCAGGTACAAGCTCTCCCTCCTCTGCGAGGACAGAACTGCACGTCCCCCCCCCCAAATAGCTAGCAATCCAAAACAGTCCAGTGGAGCCTGAGTGATGGGTGTTGCCTTCTGACACAATTCTGGTAATGTCAGGGGGTGTGGCATATGCAAATAAGTTATGCTAATGAGTTATGCTAATGAGCTCCTGCACCTCTCTTTCTACGAAATGACCCCTGGCAACGGTCATCTATATTGATCTGCACTTTATTTGTATATTGTAGTATGCGGAAATTTAATTGTATTGCATTTATGCACTGTGCTTTGTTGTATTTTAACTTGCTGTAGGCCGCCTTGAGCCTTCCTGTGCAGGCAAGGCGGGATATAAATCGGAAACCAATCAATCAATAGATAAGGTGGGCACGGGGGTCTGTGCCCTCCGCAAGGCAGACCACTCCGCTCTCCCCCTTCCCAAGCCCACCTTCCCCACTCTAGGCGAACACAACTCCAACCCTAGGAGGAGTCGGAGGAGTCAGGACTGCCCAGGGCTACGCGCTCCGGAAGCTGGCAAACGGAGAAGGCCCTGGTCGGGGATTCAGCTGCAGGCCTTCGAGGAGACCAGAGGGAACGAGCCTTCTGGCACTTCTTGCCCTAGCAATCGATCGCCGCCTCCTGGGCGGCTCCTTCCAAACCCCACCTGTTCTCCTTCCCGTTTTGGAGCAAGGAGTGGCGATCTCCGCCGGGCCTCTCCGTGCAGACGTACGTGTTCCTCCGGGTCATCATATTCGAGGGAATGTTGTTCTGCAACCAGACAGAGAAAGAGGGAGACAGAGACTCAGGCCGGGAAGCTGCTGGAGAGGCTCACGAGCAACGGGGACAGCATCGGGGGGAAGAAAAAGAAGAAGAAGAAGAAGAAGAAGAAGAAGAAGAAGAGGAGGAG